GTATGTATGTATGTGTATATGTTTGTGTGGGTGGGTGGGTGGGTATTTGTATGTGTGTGTATATGTGTGTGTGTGTGTGTGTGTGTGTGTGTGTGTATGTGTGTATATGTTTGTTGGTGTTCGTGCATATACATTACATCTACCATTTTCTGTTCTAGATGTATTTGAATCCAGATCGTATAATGTATTTATTTATTTTGGCTGTTTACGGAGTTACTGTATTATAGTTGAATTCATAGCCTACTATTGAAAATTGACATTGAATGCTGCGGCTGTTTCTATTCTAAATATATTTCAGTATAGGTCCAAGCAATAGTGGATAACGATTGCATGCCTAAAATATTTTCAGATAGTCTTTAATCAATACCTTTATCTGAATAAGTAGTTTGACACGATAACACGTTGTGTTCGCTCACATTCACTCTAAGAAGTTATACTCAGAAGTAACACCCACACCGCCTACAAAGCAAATAGCCTGTACACATTAATACTCTATTTTTAACTCAATAGAATTGATAGCTTCCCGCGAACCACAAGGGTATGTAGCGGCATTCGCGGAAAGTGTGACCGAGCTTATGTGGGTGTGGTGATGACAGCGCGTCTATCCACTATGTGCGGCCGCACTACATATTAAACAGCCTCGCAGCAAACGATTTCACAAGTTGAAAATTGAACAAGGAACTCTAAACCCAAGGAACCCTGTGTGTCAAAACTTCAAAATGCATACAGAAGGACAAAAACAAACAACCGCTGTGGTCCAATAGAACATTGTGTAGTGCGTTAAATTCTCAACTTGACAGCTTCAGAAAAGCCACCGACACATACTACATACTCTACGACTGCTACGGCACATTTGGGTAACAACTGTGCATCATACTGCGCATTCTGCACATTTGCACTTGCGGTACAATGAGCATGCCAATTTTGAGTCGGAACACGCTTTTGCGTTTTCGTTCGGCTTCTGCAGTACTGAATACTGTCAGGAAGAGACAATACAATTTTGCCTCCAGACAGTATGTTGCTTGTTTCGGTGATCTACCTCCTGTCGATACTGACAAGCTCCGAAAGGATGCACTGAAGTATCTGGATAGTTTCGATCCCAAACTGTGGTACGACAAGCCTATAGTGACTCACCTGCAGGGTATGTCTAGCTAGTATTTGAAAATTGTTTCGATCTTTAAACATGGGTCAAGGTTGGTTGAAGTATCTCTTTCTTGCCACACTTCATATAGGCAATTTTAAACGTATGATTGTCTGATCGTGGTTGTTCCTTGCATAGATCGTGATCTCAGGCACAACAAATCTTGGACGTGTATCATAATAGTTATATAGCTGTGATGGTCGATGGGCTTGGAGCACGTGTGTATGCACATAATTTTTCAGTTTATATGCAGCTCAATAATTCAACGGTGTGACCAGAACTCTAAAGCCAAGATAGTTGTGGGCGCTATCAGTTTTTTGAAATTCTCGTGAGTCTTCCCACAACATATTGGCATTCCAATTTTTTCAAATATAAGCACGTTTAATGTGTGGGTAAGCGCTTGAGTGGGGCTTCTTCGATAGATTCAAACTCTCCAGTTGATGAATGTTTATTGTACAGCGGATTGCCGTAGATAATATCTTGAGTCGCATCTGACGGAGAGATCTTTATAAGTACCGATTTTTGATGACTAAGAATATGCCTAAAGTGGATATATCGACGAGTGTGTCTTATAAGCGAGCATGCTTAGTGGTTAAACATTCACCTCCTTTGCAATAGGTCACAGTTTGGCCAGCGGCGACAAGGATGCCAAGTCGATCACTACGACGGATGCATTCCAAAAGGAGAATGGCTTGCAGATTCTCAGCAGTCCCAAAGTTGTGGACAGAGTAATCCAGCACATACAGGTACAACCGTCTGTTATTCTGCGTGTGTATATTCAGCACGTCTTTCTGAAGTCAGTTGACGGTTACCGATTGATCTTAGTATCGGCACCGCTTGTAATCGCGGATCTAAGCGATATTGAACTGAAGAGCTGACAATTGCTACTGACCGAAAGCACTACCTGTAGATAGGATCATTCGCTGTTTGTTTAGATAGAATTTAGATCCGTCACTTGAGTTGTGTGAGATGAATTTGCTTATATCAGCAGTCACTGGCTTGGAGAGAAAACACGAACGTTTTCGTGTCATCAACGGATTATGGCGATCGATGAAAACCCCGGGGAGATGACCACATCTAAACCATTCTAGGTGCACCAGTCTGTAATGGTTAAGAACGGTGATGACCAGATTCAATACAGTGCTCCCAAAGATGCTTCCGTGTAGTCTAGTATGCTGTTAGATTACGATGAGTGCCAATAATCATACCCAGCATTCTTGAGTCATATGCATGTTCAACCCGAAGCCGCAAATATATTGATTGGTGACTGTCTAGGTCTGCAGTTTCTTCAGTAGTTTTAAGATCTCTCAACTATAAACGTATGCACTACGTCCAGACTTACCAAGCCCCTGACAAGGATTTGCGGAAGGTCGTGAGGAGTATCGAAAGCGAAATCCTTTTCAACGAGAGCGCGGCTATGCTAATTGGAAACCAGGCGAAAGATTTTGGCAAGCAGGATGGGGTTACTGAGATTGAAGAGGTATGTGTACACATGTTCTGTTTGCTTTGTGAAGTGCGGTGTACATTGAAGGAGTCATATTGTGAACATGATTCTACGAGCGGAAGGACTGCAAAGTTGTTGATAATGTCGCCTATCTTTGCGAATTTGCGCCTTTTTGACTAGGTGATGAAGAACAGCATCACTCTGCGAGTCTGTGCGGTTTTAGTCTATAATTGTAACTTGATAAGCTTTATACACGCTCGCCAGCTTCTATGTCGTCTCATCATATCATATTAGTACATTGCCGCCAACCCAATAGTCTTCATATGATGAAGATAACAACAAGCGGCTTCAAAGGTGACTTGTTTGTATATTGAAGGTACAGACTTCATCACGTACTTGTCTCAGTATTTTCACTGCAGTTTGCTATTCCGAGGCATCAGAGAATTAAGATCCCAATATGATATCACTCTGGGAGCACCCTGAATGTCAACCGTGTGATTAAAATCAACGCGCAATGATCTGTGCACTGTGGTACTGCATCGTTCACCTCATACTCACACAGTCACACTCGATACTCATCTATGATTATCACATCTTTATTTGTGCCCATGGGGCGTCAGTCGCACATGGCAAACACCGTCGAGCGGCGGTTGAATGATAAGCTCTTCGAAGACGAGACGAAAGGCATGCTGCACATTGATCGCAGCCCTGCACTCGTAGGCTGTGTGTCCAATTTCACGAACTTTCTGGATCTTTGCCGGAAAACTCTGCGCAATCTGGAGTTGGGCATCCCCGTGGTAGTGCTGTCGCGGTCAAACACCGTACAGCATACCTTTAGATGGTTCATGATGCTACAGGAGTATATGCAGAAACACGGGCTGGACGCAGGCATGGTGACATACGTCTCATGTGATATTGAGCAACAGGTGAGTATTCTCGGAATCTTTTTGGTTGGGGTGGGTCGTCGCTGTGTGCTAGCGGGCCTATTTATAGCCGCTGCTCTCTTTTGCCGTCGATGACCATCGTCCTGCAACAGTGTGCATGACTGAGTATGAGCTTGTACACGTCGCCAGGTGTTGGATTTTACATACATGCCCACTCAAGTGGTGGATAATTCGCGAGAGTGGTGTATTTGGTATAGTGCTTAGCGGGAGTACAGGTCCCTGCATAGCATTGTACTCCTATTCAGTGTGTGTAGCGTCTGAATTGTTGCACTCACTGAAGGATTAATGTGGTCGAATTCACCCAAGTGCGCCCTAATTTTAATATTGCACATTTGCCTCCTACGATTTACCCTCTTACAGCGCCGTATTATGAGCGAATGCAACGGCAGCCCACTTTACTTCACAGGCGCTCGTCCAGTAGCGAAGGCGATCAAAGATATCCTCCCGAATACTTTCTCCTCCACCGGAGGCCCGAATACGATGGTAGCCACACACCTAACGGGCCCTGTCAATGAGGTGTGTATACTTGACATGAGCGTATACATTTCTGATCTTACGTTGTACTTGTGCGTTGTAAGTTATGTACTGATCACATATGTACTACAATCCTTCGAGCAGAGCATATATTCATATTGGTGCTTTGCTACCTAGTGGATAGAATTTTCATGGACTTCACCTAATACTCGCAAGTACTATCCTGTGTATTTTTTATCGAAAATTGTTTTGTTGTTATCTCCAATATAAACAGGCTGTGATTATGTCAGCCGCGATAGAGAACAGTGGCCAGTGTACCGCTCTACGTCATCTGGTCACACCAAACTGCACCGATGGAGTTCTTGAAGACATATTCTCCCGCGAAAATTTGCAAGTGGTGGATCAAGCCAGTGATAGTCTGCGGGTGGAGGGCTTCAGTGCGCAATTAAAAGGCTGGGCGGAGACATTCGGAAAAGAAGTACCTGAAACTCACACTCAGCACTCAGAGAAGGCGCCTGTTGCATACAGGATCTCCGCATACACACCCAAAACTACGGAAAGCAATGCGCACGTCAGTACCCAGTCGTTGCCATACGGAATCGATGAACACTGGCGCAGATGTTTTGTGGATGTAACGACGACAGCAGATGTGGAGACTCTGTCCTCGGAGGCGTTTGTAAATGATCTTTGTCGCTGGTTAGTGACTGAGCAACCCATTACACTGAGTGTCAACGCGCCAGACAGCATTGAGCGAGAGAAGGGGTGGCCTCTAGCCATGAGGTTGTTCGAGAAAACTGCTCAAGTCGTGTATTCAATAGGTATGTTCTGCTTTGTCGCAACTCTGTGTACCCGGTCTGTATAATTGGTACGTCCACCATTATGTATTTTGTCCGTGATATCGGCATAAGTCACGATACAACATATAAAGAGATACGTACTGTACCGTGCTTCGACAAATCCGTTGTGGATAAACGCATAAGCTTGAATAGCTTCGTATTATGTTTAAGTTCGATTTGTTTCACATGTGCCTTTGTATAATATGACCAGTGAATTCCGGCGCATCGCTAGCCAGCATACGTGACAATATATACCAACGGATTGAAATATTTGTTGATTCGCAACTCCAGGACTGTCTATAGACTTCTAACATTTGCCTACTTCGATTTCGTAATATAGGTGATACTGAGAAGTCACCCGCGCTCTCGTGCCAGGCCCGCCCGCAAGAGGCTGAAGTGTTTGGTGAGTTCCCGCCGAGATCAGTACTGTCAACATACACCAAATTCCCTGTAATAGTGCCCTCCTCCACACCGGGATATATGACCACTTACACCCATCTACACCTGCTCAACGAGGCCGCTAAGGCGAAGGAGTTTGAGGCGTGCAAAGCAGTGCGATCGCTATGGTCTTGTGTAAAGAATAAAGTCGATACAGACTCACAGACGCATGTGCACGGGTACCTGGCCATGCTGAGTGACTATATATACGATGCAACACAAAGTGGGCCACACAAGGGCTATGGCGCCCGTACCGCGCTGTGGGGTCTGCAGAGACCACCAATAAACGGACAGATGACTGAAATACGCATACCCACCTCAGACGTGGATACGTGCACGCAGGCGTTACCCTACATTCTACCTTTCTACATGACTAATGCACGCGAACAGGTGCGAGTGTCCATGACCTCGGGAGACGATGAAGGAAAGAACTTTGCGAAGGAATTGGAGAAAGCATGCCCAGGTTTGCAGATTGTCTGTGAGGCGCAAACGGACTTCGATATGCGAGTGCAGACGGTGAATCCATGGAACGCGCTTGTGATTGGTCGAGACACTGGTACTGGTTCCCTGCTGCTAAATGACCAGTACCCGCTGGTGGACAAGTTTGTGAGTGTGCTGATGCCGTTGGGTCATATCAAATCCACTCGATCAGACGATACTGAATTCCTGGAAGCCTTCTCTCGTTCACATAAATGGCTGCGGGCTCAGTGATGCCCCGCCATCGAGGAAGCAGGTGATGCTGGGACCCACAGTGCTACCGCAATGAGATTGAAACTGAGCGCTCCGAATGATAACGAGATGACTTCATACTGAACCAAATATACAATAAACTCCTAGCTCACGGTGTACAAATTAGTGTTCGCTTCTTCCTCCAATAAAGCCATTCTAATGCGTAATCTTGTGAGAGTTGGAATCTTATCGTCTATTATTTTGTTTATTGATGTGCCGCGTGCCGGCAATGCAAAGTGTCGAAGCCACGTAGCTTCAAAGGATACTCGGTAGAGATATATATTCTTATTGTTTAGGTAAAAAAATGTACTATGTATTAAAGTTGAGTTACAGCTAGTGGATAACGTATTTCGCGGCTATCAGAATCCTATTCCATATATTGCACTTTTATTTCTACTATACACAGAGCGCGCTTCACATGTGAAGTCATATTCGAAGTGGGAATGAATACCGAATTCATTAGATCGCATTTTCGCAACCTCCATCAGCAAGTCGTGGTATCACACATGCACACCGAGGTGTTACGACTGGAAACTGATGCCACACCGTAGTACTCTGATGGCCAGATATTCGCTATTTATCTTATATAACGCTCGCCACACAGTTGTTGATATACCATATTCCCCTGAATGAGCTACAAGATTCAGTGAATACGAAAAACTCCTCCATTATAGCGCCTAGCTATATATATATCCAACTCGAAATGGGCAATTTTTAAATAGGGATCACCAGATTTAGAATTGGTCAACGACACAAGTTTAATAGTACCACGGATACCTTTATCTTGGTCAATATCAGCTGCTACGCATCGAAAAGACAGAATAGACCATTTCAAGGGCAACATGCTAGACTGACGGTACTTAAGCACTGACGTACGACTACTTTTGGCAAACATCGAATGTAAACCCTTCATAATCAATTCTCTCTTCAACATCAAATCTACATATATTCTTCTGGACCATAAAATTGTTAGATAACGTGATAAGTAGTAGGTGTACAATTGGATTATATACGGTGGATTAAAATTGGATCCCTGTGGTCGTATGGGACGAGACGTCCTCGTTGATGTGCTGATTAAACTGCTTTGATACTTACGCGGTCATTCACGATAGTGGCCATCAGTCTCGATCAATGAAAAGCTGCCGAGAAGACTCAACTTCTTCAATATAGGCGTAGTATGTATAAATTGGAAAAGGTAAATGTGAATTAATATATATATCTAGTAAGGTAAAAGTAGTCGTTTCAAAATCAAAAGCAAAGAATCGAATATTTCAAGGTGGCCTTTCGAGTGCGCAACATTTGGTTTTGCTTGTACACTAGTGAGTACCCAAATATCAGCATCAAGTGTAAGTGACAACAACTAATTAATTTGCCCACTACATAATTCAGCGATCGACCTGGTGATTGGAATTATCGTGCCTCTCATCATAGAGGTATATATCTTATTTCCAGTGCAAAACATTATACGCTGGTTTGCCTATCAATCTGAGTTAGACATTCAACCTGCTAGATCGTGATCATCGTGACCCCCATACACGTAGTCAATATATTTCTGTTTACATGACAGATAGACTACTAATTAAATTCGAATATCGCAATTAGAAGGTCGAACGCTAAATTCCGACAGTTGCAGAACCTCGTGCTCATATAACATCCAGTAGGATAATGTGATGACTCTTCGTAAGCGTTGGGGTACAATCCAATGCTAATAATCAATTGACCATTTGCAAAAGGTAACTTCTTAGCTTTTATTAGTACCTTTTGAATGCGATGTAGGTCGATTCCGTAATTAATCAATGCCAATGCCACAAGCTTGGAGACCTACACGTGAAGTTGTTGTACGAGAATCGTGCTATTGGACGACGTGCGAGACAGCACAGTATGACTATTTTTTAAGCGATCGCAATTTGTCTTGTAGTTGACTGTAAAAATAGAAAAATGAAACAGAGACTAACAGTATTAGTTTTTCTTCAAAACGTACACTTAGCTATCAGCTGTACGCCAAAAAATCTTTCCACAGGGGAAAGGGTATGAAGTTGGAACACCAATAGTAGGCGCAGTACTAACACTCAGACAGGCACAAATTGGGCGCCAATGTATATGGAACGAGGCCAGAATAATAATGGCACGCGCAAAAAAATTCTTACAAACACTGCAGCGTGAAAATGCTACTACAGCTAAACCAGGCCATACTTCAGTTAACACTCTGAGGGACAAAATACAATAAACTCGGGAGTGTTTAAGAGAAACTCTACGTGCACAAGCAAAAATAAAAGTGAAACTATATATAGGTCAAGCTTCCAAAACACAATGAGGGTAAAAGGTATCCACAGTATGAACGAGGGTAGAACGCTCTTGAATATATTGAAGACTACATTTTCTACACAAATGAATTTTTATCATACTTATACGTGCCCGTTAGGATAGAAACCCTCAAATGATACCACACACCTCAACTGCGTACAAGCGGCGTGTGTCTTAGAAATATGAAATTAGTTCATTTAGAGTAAAGGTTTCTGAGGTTTTCAAGTTCTTGAACCTCCGGATATATAGACGAAATACAAGATCTCAAAAGTATGCACGAGGGGAGAACGCTAATGAATATGTTGGGTTTCTATACAAATGATAGTCATCATGCTTCTACACGCCGTATGGACAGAAAATCCTAGTACATTAATACACAACTCAACTAAGTACAATGGCAGCGTGTGTCTTAGAAATAAACAATCAGCTCAGTTAAAGTGAAGGTTTCTGCGTTGTTTAAGTTCCTGATCCACCGGATATATAGACGCATGACAAACCACAAAAATATACAGTTTTCTGTATAGTTAAAGAGTCCATCTAGCAACTCTTCGATAACCCAACAAGATAGTCTTGATCAATGCACAGTTTGGTATCAACCTGGATATAGACAATTACCTGGAAACGGCTTATAATCAGAGACACGTTCCGGAGACAAGTATTTTGATGCCGACATCATGTAAGAATGTAAGATACAGTTGAGTGTCTGTAATCGATTCCCTTTCTTGTATACCCATAATTACAATATGTGCTTTGCAGATTGATGAGTACTTGAGTCGAATACATGTCTATATTGTACAACACGCGTGTGTGCATAGTTTTTATGAGCGTATATCATGATCTTTTTGTCAAATGAATACGTGTGGTTCTAAATGCTGAGTGTAGCACCCATGTACGGATATTATCAAACTCTGAGTTTCCGGCACTGGTCAATTATTGCTCATATTGGATTCATCGGAAATATAACGGAAACAACGGTGGCCTACCGGGTCCCCTTGCGATAGTAATAAGTGGAAACTCGAGTCTAGTGAACAAAAAAATGTTTGGATTTTTTATGCTGAGAGAAACGCACTCGAGAAATTACATTGTTTTCTGTGGTCATATTTCTAGCTAGTCCCATAACCTACTTGTGTCTAGCCTTGAAATGTAGGACTCCAGCCCTTGTGTATATCTGCACACATTCTACTGAGGAACATATTCGTCAGTAAATCCAAAGTGGCCTATCATGTGTAGAAATTTATACCAAGAGTAAAACAACTTCGACACACATGAGCTTGTGTCTCCGGTACTGTTACACTCGACACCTCATAACTATGCATACCTGTTTTGTCAACTACCATGCCCAACCTGTTCGCCCAGTACAGAGGAGAACAACAATCACACAGTCCTGTTTGAAATCTTTTCGGTGTGCACAAAATTATGGTGATGTACAAATGATTCAATAGAACAATTTAAACTCGAAAATGGCGACTGAAATTTCTTTTTAAAACTTGGGGATAATATTATTCTGCAATATTCCTTCGTTCAAAACATGAATTCGTTACTTTTTTCCAGACCGAGTCATATGGTGTGAAAAGTTATTCTAAATATCGCTTTAAGTGAGTCGCCATATGCGCCCTTTAGAATATTTTTTTCAGACTTGCAGCCTGTCACCGTACAATGGTAGAAGAATTTCTTATATTGATGATAGTTGAACAATATGATCAAGATGCTTAGCATGTGATAGGAATAATTTTATTTATTTCAAAAATGGCAAGTATGTATGATACAATGTATGAACATATGGTATGGCTCTCATAGTCGCTGTAGTGGTTCAGGAAAGATTGATGGGAAAAGTGGTTCAGGAAAGGTTGATGGGAATAAGTGGTCAGTAAATTCCCGTTTGAAGCTTGGGCCAAGTGAGTCGACAATGGAAGATATATGCTGAGTCAATTCGGGCCGGTGTTGACAAAACACTGTTACTATCGAATGTTCCCTATATTCGCTTGCTGACCTACTAAGTAGAGTACCCCCCTCTGTGGTACGGATCGGGTCTGCGCCGTGTAGTGCCGCGGAATGGGCTAGTGCAGAGTATGAAATACCGAGAAGGACCAGGTTATCCGTCATAATCCGGTCGAGAAGCGAGGATGGGGGTAAGCCAATGCCGCACCAGATCACGGATGAATTCGGTATGTGTTGGCTGGCCTGGATCGAAAGTATCATAGTCGGAACCAACAAGCGCGATGATTTGGTTTGAACCGATATTTGGAAGTAGTACTTCAACAGCGTGATAAGCTGGGGTATGGGGAACATCTGTTGATGTGTCAGGGACGGGTGTGGGTACGGGGGTTCTTCAGCATGCTGGAGAAAACATCCAAGGTGTTCGTGGAGGGTCCAGATACCGTGGTAGTCGTGGCACTCCTGTAATTGCTGAAGGAGGTCAGGGTCAATGGGCGGCAGTTTCGGGCCTACCAGGATGCGTCGAATCAGTTGTTGGATGCAGGTAAAATGGCTGGTAGCGAACTTGTGGCTACCGGGGCAGACAGGGCAGAGATAGCTGTCGGTGCGGTAGTCGAGCAATGTGAACATGTACGTATTCGTTACAATCATAGCACAGAGCCGAATTGGTGTAGACTCGAAGCAGCGATTGAAACTGTCGTGTCTGGCTGTGTCTCGGTTTGAGGTTGGCGGTTTACCCATAACCATAACCAGTTGGTAGTAGTATTGGCGCCGGGCCATTGCCGCGATCTCCTTGTTGGACCAACGTTTTGTTGAGTTCTTCCTGATGACGTCACAGCGTTGGCGGAGGGCTACATGGTCGGGTGTACACCCGCCCGTGATTTTGTGTACAGTTTTCAGGTGAGCATAGATACTGTACGGGAAGCA